AAATAATCTATTCTGCTAAGGTAAGGAACCACAACCTATTAAAAAAATAATTTATTCTATTTATTTCCACACACTTTTATCGAAACATTTAATACAGAGAAGTACCCTTTGTGTAAACTAACCTAAAACTATACCTACCCTTCATGTAAAGTAACCTAAACTGTACCTACCCTTCATGTAAACTAACCTAAACTGTACCTACCCTTCGTGTAAACTAACAAACTGTACCTACCCTTCATGTAAACTAACCTCAACTGTACCTACCCTTCGTGTAAACTAACCTAAACTATACCTACCCTTCATGTAAACTAACCTAAATTATACCTTCCCTTCATGTAAACTAACCTAAATTATACCTTCCCTTCATGTAAACTAACCTAAACTATACCTACCCTTCATGTAAACTAACAAACTGTACCTACCATTCATGTAAACTTTGAAGATCTGGAAGAAGCTCATTTAATACTTCTGGTAGAACCTTTATGTACATCTGTATCTTCCTTCGGATGTATTCTTCCTTCAGTTTCTTCAAATGACGCCTGAACATTCTCTGGGCAGCATCATGCCCAAACAAGTCACAATAGTGAACAAAATCAGAGTTTTGGGCAAACTTTTTGCTCTCACGACTCCACACGGCCTTGTGGTCTGTTACCTGAGTACGTATGAGTGATTGGTACGCCTCAGTCGCCACGTCCAGCACCTCCTTCCTCCGCAGTGCAGCTTCAAGAAATGGCACAATTTTGGACTTGCCTTTAGTTCTATCGATCATCTGAGCAAGAACTATAAAAGCTAAATCAACACTCACATCTTCATGGGCAGACGTCTCTACAAGTGGAATACTTCCTTTGTATTCCCTCCTGCTTACAAGACGTTCAGCTTCCTTAACATAGCTTTCCCTGGCTTCATCATTTTTTGTTGTGGCCAAAACTATGGGTTTCTTTGTCTTCATCAAGTTGTTTAAGATGAGACACGTATATTCCACTTGTTTATCAATTGTACGGCCTGGCACGTCACTCACATCAAACACGCATACAAACCCATCAATGCTTAGTTTTCCTTCTGGAATCATTTTCTGTTCATACTCTTTTTCAATACCTGAGACAAAAACACGTCAAAGTGCTGAAGTTTTTAAACAGCTCACAAACTTAGAAAAATGAAAGTTAAGCATATTGTATCTTCAGACTTATACATTTACCTAACTGATTTCTTGTTAGTTTTCAGAATGTAAGAACCAAACTGATAACAATTCAAATGTCTTCTAGACACAAACCATAAGTAGTTACAATTGCAACTACATGAATATCTTAATCAGCTCACAAACTTAGAAAAATGAAAGTTAAGGTAAGCATATTGTATCTTCAGACTTATACATTTACCTAATCGATTTCTTGTTAGTTTTCAGAATGTAAAAACCAAACTGATAACAATCCAAATGTCTTCTAGACACAAACCATAAGTAGTTACAATTGCAACTACATGAATATCTTAATACATATAGCCTAATATACTTGTTTATCTACATGTATGAAATATCATCAAAAACAAAATCTTATGACAAGTGCCCTCACTGTTAAAAGGATTTTTGGCCATAATCCCAATATGTTATCACATTATAAATAAATATATAAAATTAGAATTATTTGAAAATCAACTGTTCCAAACTTGATTCAAAATACACAAGCACATAATCTACGATACATTTTCTTCCCCAGGTATCAATGATGATTTTTTTTTAACTAATGTCAGTAAAATGTACTTAGGTACTTTATCCACAAGCAGCAAAGGAATATTCGTAGGAAAATATTTATACAGTAAATCAGCTACTATCTTTTATAATCTAGTTAGTACGTACCCAACTGGTTTTTACAGATGTACATGAGCTTCTCAGCAGATGTAAGTTTTATAGTAGTACATCTTTTATAATAAGGGTCAGTTTTACTGCTCTTGAAAGGTTGAAATGATGAATCGTCGATGAATTCCGTTTGCTCCACCACATTAAAGTTGAAGTCAACTCCTTCATCAGATGTCTTGGTTACCTCACCCCAGTACAGAAAATGATCATTGTTTACTACTCGCCCACTAAAATCTGTCTGGCTCAGCACCGAGATGTGATCCACGTGGTAATCATCGGCAAGGTGTCGAACGAAACGATTACACAGGCAAGACTTCCCTACCCCCGTGCTTCCCTTCTCTTTCTCCGTACCCGAAAGCCCTACAGCAGCAACATTGAAAGTTCGAGGCACATCACATTTTTTGGCCATCTCCAATAGGCCTCTTGTAGTAGTCTTCTAAAACGTATTGTTTAAAGAAAGTGATAATGTTAAGAAACAGAGCAGTACGGTGTTCTGGAGAAACACCTTTCTCACAGAGCAGTACGGTGTTCTGGAGAAACACCTTTCTCACAGAGCAGTACGGTGTTCTGGAGAAACACCTTTCTCACAGAGCAGTATGGTGTTCTGGAGAAACACCTTTCTCCACTTAGGACGGCCAAAGAGCAGAATCCATTTCTACCCAAGGTACTCCTGGGGTCCCCATAGCAACAAACGAGAACAGGCTCCAGATGGTATCATTTTCTCGTACAAGTTCAGCACACAACTAGTAATGCTCACAGTTCCTTCCTGAAAGAGACAAAATTTTGCTTTATAACACTGGTGATAAAAGTATCTACACAACCATATAAATAGAGCAGAAACAAGATGATTTTTTTTACATCTAACTTAAACTGGTAAACATCTACTAAATATTAGCATGTGAATTTCAGTAAGAAGTTTAAGTGTGCCATCAAATAAAATTAATAAACACAGACTTCAACATGGTTAATTTTGCACACTAACACAGACAACAATTTCTAATGTTTAACATTATATTTATAATTTATTATAAGTCTGCCTTTTATTCAAACTAAAGCTAATTATATGAATCAGTTTCAAAATTTAACAGGTAAACAGTAAGTTAGTGAAGACAGTCCTGTGTATCAAACTGACCAGAAACTAATAAAATCATCATGTAGTTGATCTCAGCTATTTTTTGTTGCCTCCTCCTAGTAATATTTTGGCCATAATCCCAAGAGGTTTGTACAGTTTAAGTCAACAATGAAAAATACTCTTTGAAGTGTAAAATATCTCAAGAACTATTTAAAAATCAACAGCAATAAATAAATACAACAGGTTGTTACTTCCAAAACAAATAAATACAACAGGTTCTTATCTCCGAAACAAATAAATGTGCAAATCCAACTTAAAAAATGGAATTTATCTTAGCTAGGGCTAAGCAATTAGTAATATATGCTTATTAACTAATCAACAGACTTATTACTCAATTAGTACATGCCCCATACAAGCCCTCCCTTTCCAGGACAAGTAAAAAAAAGGGTTGAGTACTAGCTTCGTAGCTTCTTTAACCAATACATTATTCCAACATTGTAATAAGTTGTTTCTTTTTAATTACTCCTTTAACATAAATGGTGACTGGCTGCCTTCACTCGTTTCACTAGTTCAAAATTAGAAGCTGAAGCATAGAAAGGAATAAAAACTCTATAACCCAAGTGCTTTCGAAAAGTGGACCTTTCTTCTTTAGGAACAAACTGATTCCGTTTTCGAATCAGTTTGGGTTATAGAGTTTTTATTCCCTTCTATCAAAAAGCTGCCGCAGATAGTCTTAGTAACATACACACATACAACAATGAAAACAACAGTTTGTTTAGAAATTCACAAAGAAAGGTTTTAATTTGTGAAAAGAAGCTACTGCTTGGATAGTCACCACTTTTATTGGGTAACAAAGGTAGAACAATTGTTAAAAAGATATTAACTTTAAATAAATATCTACAGGAAACTTTCTGTTTTAAAAACAAACAGTTTGAATAAAACATCTCATACAAAACACCTTTCATACTTTCCACAAACCTTGACCAGTGATGAGAAATGTTTACAAATAGGTAAGTGGAAGACTGATATGCTGATTGTTAAAGCCGGTGATAAGATAAACCTGGCTCACTATTATTGTTTATCTGGCTCACTATTATTGGTTTTTCACAGAAGAAAAGTATGTGGCTATAATTAGGCAATGCAAAAGTATTCATGATTCTGGAAGGGGTTTGAACTCCAGAATGATGTTAAGTACTCGCAACTTCCAGAATCAACAAGGTCAACATTATTCTGAATGTAACATGATTAAACAGAACAGTGAGCTCTGGCAGGTAACATAACTTAGCTTCCAAAGAAGTCTGCTTGTCAGAACAGTGAGCTCTGGCAGGTAATATAACTTAGCTTCCAAAGAAGTCTGCTTGTCAGAACAGTGAGCTCTGGCAGGTAACATAACGAAGCTTCCAAAGAAGTCTGCTTGTCAGAACAGTGAGCTCTGGCAGGTAACATAACTTAGCTTCCAAAGAAGTCTGCTTGTCTATTGAAAAATTAATTTTAGTACGGTGATCAATGTACAGGAGCTAACATGCATACAGCCGATTAACTGCAGATTTGTTTAAGAGTAGATTTAAAACTTAATAACATTTGCGTGTTTCTGTCCATCTAAGAAGTACCTGTACCCTCGACCTTTTAACCCAAGAAAAAACTACTTTAATTCTGCGAGTCTGAAGTTTGATAACCCTATTCCTTAACTACTACTGTATCTTAATGACGAACTGATGTCAGTGAACTTTATCCTTCTGAATCCTCAACTGTATTATTAGATGAACAATTTATTACCCCAAGAAACCCATTCTCCAAATCTGTAACACAGAATAACAAACAATACGAGACACTCAACACCACATGTACTAACATAAAGAGGCTGCTGTTATTCAAATATGTCTCTCACATAACTCAAGAGACGACAAAACCTAACACATGTTTATCAATGTGTAAAGAAAGAAAGAAAGATCTTAAAGCTGAGGCAATGCTGCTTTCCCAAAAGGCCAATTTAGATGAAATATTAAATTCATCTTCTAACTGTAAGTGAAATCTAGAAACACTAACTTTGAACAACTTTAAACTGAAAGTTTATTCTATACATACTTACTATTTTAAGTTAATCATGTAAGAAATATAGAAAATACTTGTACAGTAGGAGTGAATTAACCAAACCAAAATAAACTTGATATTCAGCACCTGTCTAGAAGAGTTCAACCCTACACATAGATATGTGTTGTGATTATTGTATCAACAAGAGTTCAACCCTACACATAGATATGTGTTGTGATTATTGTATCAACAAGA